TTTAAAGATTTTTTAGTATTAAGGATGTCAATTGTCTGAAACCCATATTTTACTACATTCAAAACTCGTTTGTCTCCAGAAGGAACTAATGACGAAAGTTTACCTTAATCCCCAAAAACTAAATTATTGCCCAAATAGGAGAATAAAGGTGTACAAAGTTTTAAGTTTGATGATCATGCACAAGTTTGAACTTTTTTTATAAATTAAATTCCACTGAAAATTAAATAAAAGCACTCAAAGCAGCTTGGTTGCGTGTTAAGTCCACAAGCGCCAATCAAATGCAGCTGCTAGTTGTAACAGTGGTAGCAGCTTCAACGCTACAGTTCTCTTAGGTGCAAACTTTTATCGTTCCTACTGAAACATTTAATGCCGTAAGCAGCTTAAGGGTCAAAAGCGGACCGAAGCACACATCAACTTTTCTCTATACATAAAATAAAATGCGAAACAAACAAATAAAGCAGAGTGCTGGAATTGAAAATGGAATCTCAACGGCATGTTGTGCGTTTTCACGTTTCACGAGCAGGTGTACTAAATTGCTGTACTCGCTCTTGTATAATTTGAGGTATTAATAAAGAAAACTTTAATATTTTTTTTACTTTAGTTTTATGAATTTTCAACACATTCCTATACAATTCATGCTGTAATTGCGGCTACATTATCAAAGTTTGATTGCAGTGAATCAATATTGTGCTTATTTTCGACACAAACAACAGCACTTGTCGCCACACCATAGAAAACACTGAACTTTTTATTGTATTCTTGACGTTTGAGAATTTGAGAAAAATACTTATTTATAAATGAGTTGGAAACTATAACGAAAATAAACAAATGTGCTCCAGACATTGTTCCAAGTGTGCCATTGAAAAGTGTTGCTGGTGTGGTTCCAGCTGTAAGCTGCAACATTAATGTACACAAAAATAGCTTGGGATGAGCTAAAATTAAACACAAATTTCGTTGAGAATTTCCTCGTTCTGTGGAAATTCTAATGTGCTTGTTCCAATTAATGTGCTGTAAAATAGCTCAACAAAATGAAGAATGAACAATGAAATGCGGAGGGGAATTATAGGCACAAAAATAAAATCCACAAGTCAATACAAATTCTTCGAGAACGTACTTAAATAGAGCGCTCAACTTCCTATTCTTTACTATAACTAATAAGTGGTTGGATGCAGCTGGATACGCGTGCATCGTTTTGGAATTGGGTGCATCTATCAACAAAGCTCGTGTCACGCTGTGCCACCAAATTTTAGTACATGCGTCACTGAAGGTACATCAATGAATTTTACAGTACTTTTTCCTTAACATATTTTTTAAACGAGCGTGTTTTTTGTTTTAAGATTTGATGTTGATTTAGGCATCCATATCCAAAGCAAATTGGGCACATGATGATGGAAATTGATTAGGCAAGGTAATAGGGCAGATCGCGAAATCTTTGTATTATAATAAGTAAACTTGTAACATAAATTTTCAGCATTTAAGCCTTTTGGGTCTGATTACAAGAGGCGGCACAAGAATATTCCCCACGAAATTTGAGTTCTTGATTATTCGATGCTTTTCATAGATCTGTGCACCTCTTTTCCTATATAAAAAATTATAGACTAGAGCATGTTTTTTATTTTATTGGTTTCGGAAAGCTGAGTTCTAATTTTCATATTAATACCATGGTTTTGAAAACAAACGGTTGGCCAAACGCTGGTCTACATTATTAGAGATCCGAATATTACTAATACTTTTTACAAATTGGGTTAGACCTAAATTAGAATCTGGTATAGAACCCTAGTTACCAAATAAATTTTCAAAAGTTAGTTTCTATTTAAAAAAAAAAAAAAATATTATTTTTCTCTTTAGTTTATTCTTGTTTAAGTCTTCCTCTATCCACTAGTTATTTAATCTAGTTATAGAAAAATGCTTTATATATATATATTTTATATATATAACTAGCTGACCCGGTAGCCGTTGTCCTGCRTGAAATTGTGTGTTTTGAAATGAAAAGAAAGTTGAATTTATCATTTAATTTTTTTTTTTTTTAATGTAACACAGCTCGATAAACAACATTTTTTGGTTTCTGTTCCGGTGTACAGAAAAGATGGTTTTCCAACTCTGGCCGTGTGAAAAACATAGCATTTCCAAATTTATGCCACACACTATGCGACTATCCTTGCGTCCTGTTGATTGTCATCTCAAATGCAATTTTCGTTGGAAATGGAATACGTTTGAACTGGAATGGCTAATCACTAGAACTCAAACTAGTTCCTAGAATCAAGCATTCTGTCCCCTTGTATTCGATAGATGCGTCATAATCAGTAGTGTTCCAATGACAGATCTAACTTTGAGACGCAAATAATGTGGTGCCATACCAAGAATCTCCAGATAATTTAGAAATTCCACTGGATAATTCATGGCATCGTCTTCACTGCCAAGACGATCGATCGATTTGTATGAGCGCAAAGCTCCCGGAATTTGTCTTTGAATCTTAAAGTTTAAGTCACCAACATCGGTATTTTTGGCACCTATCGTAGTTACGATAATTTGGCCAATGTCCGACGTTTATCTTTCGTGAATTGATAAACGGCAGATGAAATTGATATCAAACCACCGGAAGTATTAACCGTAATTGACCCATTTCCAATTCTTAGCGAATAAGATGTAAAATATCTTCGGCAAAGTCATTCTTGTTTGTATGACATAATTGACGCGGATACTTTAGTGGCATGCGAAGTAGCTATCGCATCGTCCATCGTTTGATACCAGCGATTGCCAGTTTCCAGCAATTGTAATTCCTGGCATGCTTCTCAAAAAGTTGCACACACCGTACCATTCACAGTACGCAATGACTCACATGAAGTTGAACCGCGTGCATTAATCAATAGCAACCGAAGGTAGGAGCAATCGTCGTTTTTCGGATGGATTATATGAATTTGTTCTAATGCATTGGTCGGTAACACCTGGATGTCCATCTACTGGTCGGCCTTGCTTTCTGATTTACTATTTCTTCAACGATGCATTCCATATATGTCCAGGTATTTCCGAATAGAGCAATGTTCTTGCAAACGGATTACTGATGAAAGTTGAGCAAAAACTCGTAAATGTTAATTTTATTGCTGGCGGTGTTTCTACTGGCTGTACTGTATTCTCTGGTTTGAAAGACACTCTTTGACCAATCTCCAAATGTATTAATTGCGAGACGTACAACAGTCGGAAAACGTTCATGAATTGCAAAAGTAAATATCCTACAAAGCGCTCTAGTGCAGTTCACATATCGACCGTATCGTTCAAGACCAATAACCGCCGTGTTGCTTCCTTTAGTGACGTACTTACAAACGTATTTTATCGATTTCACCAAACTTCAATACTCAACATTGATATGAGTTTTGAATGTGAATTAGACAATAATGGTGAATATTGTACGATCCATTTGTTGTTAACTGTGAATGCTGAATGTTCTGACATTATCGTCTGGTGAGTGACGCCGATAAAGTGCATATCCATCATTTCTGGTTTGTCTTTAAGGAAGAAAGCGCCTTAATAGTGTTCCGTGAATTTATTGTCAGACATACAAACCGAAGTCGGATTGTAATGACCGTAAGGTCCATGAACCATATTGGTTTTCATCACCTCGTATAATACTGGATCTTTCTGTGCATCAGAAATTTTCGCAGAAATGATTTTTCATCCACCATCCAAAGAAGAATGTGTGCGTGTGGCAAACTTTTGCAACTCAACAAAGTACATCCAACATCTAACAGCACCATATATACCATATGTTGCTTCAAGACAAAGTTTATCAAACATCGTAAGCGTTGTTGGAAATGTCGTGGTGTGACATCGCGATGATCGCTTGCTGATTGACGCGATCCATAGTTCCGCACGTATGTCATCGCATCCTGGGACTACTAGTTCATGTGCCTTGAGCTGCCATACGTTGATGGCAAAAAGAATGCCGACCGATATTAGCGCGACCATGAAGAGGATCCTAACCAATTTCAATCTGTAATTAATTACTTTGTATGAAACACACAAAACGTTTTGATTGAAAAACTCTCAAGAATCTGTTTTTTTAAAGCCAGAATAAAGAAATGAAATGACAAAATTGAACGATAAATAATTAAAAACCAAAACAACAAAAATGTAAAGAAAAATTTTGTATGGAAAAAAGTTACTTTTTGGAATTCTCCTATTTTCCGACTTTTATAAACGAAAGTCATACAGTTTTTTTTATTTCTAAACCTTCCTCAAACCACCTCGAACAACCTCTGAAAATGTCATCAAGATTGGTTCAGCCATTCTCGAGCCGTTGCTAACATACAAACATTAATTCGTTTGTATGGGAAAAAGAAAAGGGCTTTTTTTAGCGGTCTTCGGTAGGTCTTGATAACAGTCTTCGATTGAAAGAACGTCGTTTATCATGAGTTCTTACCTAAGGGTCGTACGGACTATATGATGTATTATTTGCCAAACAAGGCCGCCTGTGACTTTTTTTGTTCTCCAAAGAGAACTAAGTCAGGGTCTCTTAGAATGACTAAGTTAGGCCCATGAAATGATGACGTTACGATCAAGGAGTTAAAAACTGCATCAAAGGAGGAACTTAAAAAATCCACAAAAAATGTTTTCTTAAGAGTTTTGAGGATTGGGAAAAGCACTGATAGAAGTGCAATATATCTTGGATAATTACTTTGAAGAGGACAAAATGTATTCATGAGTATATTGTTAAGAAGTACATTCTATACTTAAGAAATCCATTTTTGTATTCTTTTTGAAGAAAACGGTGTTCCACAATATTAAAATTATTGCCCATCTGAATCTTTAACATTTGCCTCTCTTTATAGTATTTGTGGATTCCATCCCAACTTTAGAAACCCTATTCTGAATTAGGACGTTCCTCATCGACCTGAACAAATGGTCAGCAAAGGGGCAAAGTCCAGGCTATAAGACGGGTGAAGCAAAACTTCCTAGCTGCGATTTTCAAAATAGTTTTAACCGGTCTAGCAACAGCAGACCGAGAGTGAGAGTTTTCCGGCCATCGCCTGCTTCAACTTGATGAATTGTCGTCGTTAGCATTTCCCATTAATGGTTTCACCTCCTGGACTCAATTGATATGGCAGTCAGTTATCTTGAATGTGAATGTATAGGAATGATTTTAAACATTTTGAAATAAATAGCTAATTTAATGTCTCCAAAAGAGTCTATGAGCTATACTTGGGTTAAGCAACATCAGCTTCTAACTTTTAAGAACGTTCTTCGTCTTCCAAGGCAAAATCACCACTTTGAAGTCGTGCAAACGACTTTTGGTACGTCCCCCAGCTAAAGTATATTCACTATAAACTTCATGCAAAAGAAAAAGGCCTGACATATCGAGTACTTATGGATGAGTGTGTAAAATGGTGCAGGTAGAAAAATTTTTAATAATATATACTCCTCTCTAGATACCGCACTCTTGTTGATTCAAGGCTCTCTAGATGTCCCGCCCGAAATAATTACAAATCTTGGAGGAAAAACTTAATAATAAATAAAAGCTAAGTTTTGCTTTTAAAATATTTGTTGAAAGAAAGTTTAAAAACTTGTCTTTAATTTTGAACACGTCTGTATTTAATGATGTCATCATCTCATCTCTAAGTGCATATGCTCAATAAAATTACATTCTTTAAATGACATAATACGAGGTGTGTTCAAAAAGTATCGCGAATTTTGAATTTTTTGTGGCATCATCTTTGTACTCATGTCTCTCACTTATGCCGACAAGCTCAGCCATTTTAAATGTTCATTTAATTGTTGACAGCTGCTTTGCTTGCACGTGGTTTGGATCGTCTTCGATTTTTACCTATTCAAAAGAAATGGATCAAAGAACCTGTATCAAATTTTGTGTGAAAAACGGATCCATTCCGAATGTTGACTGTGGCACACGCAAAAGCTACCTTGGACCGAAGCAACGTTTATCGGTGGTACAAAATGTTCTCAGAAGGCCGAGAAGATGTGACAAAAGTTGGCTTTTGCACCACGATAACGCCGCTGCTCACACATCGTTGCTTGTGTGCGACTTTTTGGCCAAAAACAACACACTAATGATGCCGCAGCCACCGTAGATCTGGCCCCCTGTGACTTTTTCTTGTTCCCTTAACTGAAGAGGCCCAAGAAAGGACGCTTGTCTTGACGAGATAAAGACGGCATCGAAGGAGGAGCTGAAGAAGAAAAAAAATGATTTTTTGAAGTGCTTCGAAGATTGGAAAAACCGTTGGCACAAGTTTATAATATCTCATGGGGATTATTTTGAAGGGTACAAAATAGGTATTCATAAATAAATAAATAATTTTTGCAAAAACACAAAATTTGCGATACTTTTTGAACACACCTCGTATACTAAATCAGCCCAAGATCAGTTTATAACATATTTGACAAAACATGTATTGAGTTGGGTAATCGAGCGAACCCAAGTTAATGAGTTACTTTATTTTCAATGATATTATATTACGAATATTTACATTTCCTTCATTATCAACACCAAATTTGTTTCCAAATGTAATAAGTATTTGTGTAACAATAAAAAACCAAAGCCTTAAATGTATA